TATAAACTTTCCAAGGAAGGCACTGCACATGTTTGAAACCTACACATGTAATGGTTAACGGTGCAGAAATTTGCCCACCCGGGAAGCGCTGAATTCCATAGTGGCATAATCTCACTGCCGGGGCTCTGGATTAAATTGAACTGAATCAATACGACTGCAGCCAAACAATTGTAGGCAGATCATTAAATTAGAACATCACGGACACGCGGAAACCGTACGCTGACCACAGAAAATATCCAGCGGTTATCCCGCAACACCACAATCGGCCTCGGGTTCTCAGATGGATTGATACCTCTGTTAATTGCGATGCAACTGCTTAGCTCAGCTGCAGTGGCACATCTGTCCTTACAATACTTGGAGGCCCACAGGGTTGTGAGTTGTTGACGTTCCCACATTTTCTCTAGACAGTCGGCTCACAGATGGCGGTGAGGTTGTCAGCCTTACGTGCCGGCCACTCATTCCTGTTAGAGGCAGAGTCGACCCCTGGGCCATAGTGCGGCTGGAAGGAGTAGGTCAATTGAAAAAATCCAATGACCTCGTCTGGACTTGAACCCGCGATCTTACCGCTTGTAGCATAGTGCCTCAACGAACTACGCTACTGCGTGTAACGTATGCATGTCTTATAGATCAGTATTCTGGTTAATTATCGCTTTTTTATAGTTTATGTATGGTGTCTCCCATAACATGTAATTTTTATTGTCCTATTTTACTGTTTATTTTTCAGCCCCGTAAGTCATGAAAAATGTGAATGCTGAATTGCGATATAATTCAGAGGAAGTGGTCATGGTCTATCTTAAATGATTTTTCCAAGCTTAGGGTCGACAAGAAATTGTAATTACTAGTCCGACATATTCGATACGTGCTCTGTTGCCGTAAAGGGAGCGCGTAATTCATGCATGTACGACTGTGAAAACAGATTTCGGAGGAAAATATTTGTATCCATGGAATAATACAGAGGAGATCAGGGAAAAGGTACGTAAAGTTGCTTAGAGTGGTGAAATCAGGGAGGTTTCAGTAGGACAGATGCAGACTGCGGTTACGCGGTACAAGAACCTTATGGGCAAATTGAAATGTCTGGGCGAGTATTGCGGAGCAGTATCGAAATGCGCTTTGAATGAATATGCGTAGTATCAGTTGCACTCACCGGACTCAGAATAATGTCCAATAATAGAATTCTGTGTTAATGCAGATCTTCTGCAAGATGGCAGTACCAGATAGTTCGTCAGCGATCCAATGGATATGTCAGTTATGTATCGCTATTATTCAGTCCGTCAGTTATTTACAAGTCGATTAATTGGTTTCTTAATTATTCAGCTTAAAAATAGTTGCTTAGTCACTTATTGGGTAAGTTAATCAGTATGTCAGCTGTTTTTAGTAATTCCGTTCTTCGATTCTTAAGGTTGTTGTACGTACTGTGATATTATGCGCAGATACCCCCTCCCTTTCCCTAACCCGTGGCTGCTGTGGAGTACGGACCCTTGTAAGACTTACAGAACCACACAAACCTGAGCCTCTCACAGCTGCGGCTACGAGTTCTGTCTTCTGAAGTATAACCTCCATCATCAGGGTCGAAGAAGAAACCAAACAACAAACCAGCATGAAGCAGGAGACGGCATCCCTTCTTTATGTCGATTTCTTGATTGACTTGTCCTTCTACCATGAAGATGAAGGCAGCATGTCGGCTGATTCTTGCCGGACTACATGGTCTTCTCTTCCAGCCCAGAACTCTTCTCTCTAATGTAACAGTTTCAGTATATCTACTGAAAACGTAATTATTGCCTGTAGGCTGCAAATAAGGAATCCGTTCTCCTACCGCATCTTTGACATCTATGTGTAAGTTTGGTGCGATAATAGCTCAAGCCCGTTAGAGTATGACCACAGTTCAATGTTTCCTTACAAGTTATGTCTTCGTGAAAGGCCCTAGTTTCTCATAAGCAGCCTTCGCTCTCCAGTGCCAGTTCCGCTATCTATGGCTCTACAGTCGTTTTTGTTGGACCTTGGACAGTTTATCAGTTTCTTAATCGTATACACATTCGGTAAGACTCCTTAGGCGAGTGATCAGTCTGTCGCAAGGCCGCTACCTACACAGGATAAGCGCACACAGACCTCCATGTCTTGAGTAGGATTCGAACCCATGATCCCAGCGTTCTAGCGGGCGAAGACCAGTCATAAGTTAGAGTGCGCGGCCACTGTGATCGGCACTTCCTTTGCTACTTCAGCAATGAATTTATCTTTCTCTTTCCTGGCCCCTTTAGTGAGAGAATGTATGGCAAGGGAAGGCATTCCCACAGTCTAGCTAATATTATTTGTCCCTCAGCGTCACTACACCTGTTTTCCAATTTCCTTTGATAATTTCTTATATTTTCTTATCTTCCTTATAAACATAATCCAGACCTAAGCTACACGATCAGCCGGTCACTGTAGCCGAGCGGTCTAAGGCACGTATTGTCTTCGCTCGCTTGGAAACCGGGATCGTGGGTTCGAATCCCACTTAGGGCATGGATGTTTAGTTTGTGTGTGTGCGTTTTTCTGTGATTGTGTACAGGCAGAGGCCTTGCGACGAACTGATCACCCGCCCAAGGAGTCCTACCGAATGTGTATGATCTACAAAAACCGAAGTGAATAGAGAAGTTCATGAGGTAGGCCTAGGCCCACTGGGGCTGTACGATCATTTACACTAGCTGTCCACTCTATTTGGCATCTAGAGCATCTAGAGAGACTCAGTCATATCGTAGTCATGTGGCTATATGCCAGTCGTTCAGGTGAATACAGGGGCAATCAATTCGCAAACATGCGCTGTGACATGCAGCAGCTCTTGAAGTGGTCTGCCTATCTTCGGTGGCACATTCAGTCAAGACGAAACTCGATCTGTGGGGGGAGGGGGAGGGAACATACGTTCAGGGGTCCTTTCATCCCTCTGCGACCCATCACTGCCTGTCATACCTGCTTCTATTCCATGTTCATTTCATCATCGTCAGCTAAAAGAATTGGCCGTGAAGGCTGTTGCAGCTCCAAGGCTAAATCGGAAGTGCTCCATCCATTTTCATATGGTGCACCTCTTCTTCTCCTTCTTTTGATATACACTTGTACATTTCTAAGCAGATGTGCTTCAACCTTTCTCTCCAGGTGGTGCAAGCAGCTACTTTGTTAGGGTGTTAATGTGTTCACCCCTTGGCTGACTGTTGCCGTCCGGTTTGTGTTCTGATACAACATGCAGCAGCACTCGATTGTCCACTTGTTTATTAAAGTATCCCAGGTACTTTAACGTGCCGTTTTGTTCCCTTGGTTTGTATACATTAGAGCTCTCGGACTGCCAGAGCCTATGTCAGTACAGTTGGCATTTCCGTGTCAGGTCTGTGTTTTTCTGCGATCCTCAGTAGTTGTCCCGTTTGTCTCGGAAACAAAGAAAGAAAAAGAAAATGATCGCAGGCGAGAAAAGGATCGAACAGCACAAATTATGCCCTTCATTATTTCTTAGTTTATGTGAAGACAGGCAGGTAAGGCAGGTAAGGATGTAGGTACGGGAAAATAGACGGGTCGGTTTTCAGGAGACACGGGTAACGGTGTAGGAATTTTCCAGGCAAGAAGTTGATTCATCTTGATGTCAGTTCACTTATAATATGCCGCTTTTGTATCAGCACAACACACACCATACACTTAAATTAACTGTAGGTCAATTTATTTATAAATGCAGTTTCTTCCTTTAATTTCATAATCAGTTCCAATGAATTTAACAATTGTGGTCTTTCGAATAATTATTTCTGGAACTTCAGTGACGTTAAATGGGAACCGACGACTTCTCTGAATATGGGAACCAGAATTCGGGGCGTGCAGACACCACGTCCGCACACATCACAAGGTTATTGGGAAGTGAGAAGCTTGGACATGGTTTGTACAGGCGCACGTCGGAAATTCAAGATTTCGAGTTTCCCCCTGTGCGGATTAATACGTGCCATACAAAAGCAAACTTCGTGGTTCTAATCCGCAAGCGAACTGTACCGACCGAGCGACCGCCGCTTGTCGGCGAAGTTAGTGCCAACTTTTGCGGATAGAGGTCGCGTAGTCAGCGCAACGGATTCCCACGGTCTTTAATCTCGGCTTTCTAGACCGGGGCCGCTATTTCCTTGAAATAACTCCTCAGTTATCCTCACGAGGCCGAGTGGACCCCGTTCCAGACCCATTACTTCTCAGAAAGTCTGGTAGCACCGGGAATCGAACCCGAGACCTCTGGATCTCTAGCCAGGAACTCTGACCACTAGACCACAAGTTAATATACGAACAGATAAATGAATGAATAATGCAGAAAATACACGAATAAAGGATGGAAAACAGAACCAATGGAAATGCACAATATTTTGAAACAGACCGAAGGGTAAGAAGTTATTCAAAGACAAAATTCCTTTGTAATTGTTCCATGAAGAATCGATCGGGGTTCCCTGAAATATAAGTGCAAAGAGGCCAAGCTACCAGAAAAATAAAACTGGTATAACATTTTTGGGAGAAGCATTCATGGAAATGGAGGGTATGGAAATCTGAAATTGGAGAACTAGCTTTTCCTTTCCAAACAGTCGCCATCTGTCTCTGTAGTGATACACGTAAGCTGGCTCAGCCGCTGTCAGCCTTGCAAGTAAGCCGATACGAACCTTTGTCTCTCTAGTAAACAGTAGAGGCTATAAGTGTTATGCGAAAGTGGCTTTACTTTATCTATAATGTTCATAGCTCATTGTGTCGGGGGTACACGGCAGCCGATATCTAAGGCCGACCTCACCAGAATCTGTGAGCCGATTGTCTGGAAAATGTTGGAGCCCCACCATCTCCTAATCCTATGGGCTTCCACGGCCTGCTACAAGAATAGCTTTACCTTTTCTCTTTTTATGTTTAAAGAGTCTGGTGTACATTCAAAGAGGAAACAGTTTAGTTGAAGTTGCAGTGTTTTTTCTCGAAAGACAAATTTCCTATTTATACAGTTCGTGTAATTCTTGTTTCTCTGTTGGTTGCAGCAGGGATATTGACCCAGGCAGCTCATTTACCAAGTCAGGCAACAGGTCAAGGTGTATCTCATGGAGGTCACGGGGGGAGTCACAAAGATCACGGGGATGCTGAACTCGGAAAGGTGAGTACTGTAAACAGCCGTGGTTTAATTATGCATCTATGCACGTAAGTTCAGTGAGTCCAGTGAACATGTACATGCTTCGTGGCTGCTGTGTGGTACCTGCACAGCTGTTCGGACATTCCTGGATTCTTAGAGTCTGTTCCAGACTGAAGCAGCCCAGGAGGACCTGCAGTATTGCTTTAGTTTTCAGTTTCTTAGTTGCTCCATCAACGTGTTAGAAGATTCATAAAAGGAAAGATTCCTCCTATATTTTGGGTATACTTTTCTCTGTTGAAACATATCTAGCCCTACAAATATTTGAATGCACTCGTGGAAGTCCTGGTTGCTCATCGTATTGTATTTTTTAAGTCTTTTCGTTTCAGGCTTCTCACGGAATGATTAAATGCTTGAGGGATGGGCCACAATACTCCGGCCCTTTTGCTGCGACATTGAGTGACCTAGTGTGCTTCCCCTTTGATTAACACTTCGAATGAAATATAGGACTTTGTTTATGGGGGCATCACAGTAGTCACTCGGTTCCATAAAAAGTGACCCAGGTGACGAAATCTTAAGTAAGCTATGGGCTCGTCACACAGGATGTGTGTGTGGCTGCTTCATCTACTTCTAGGCACCTTTCATAAGTAGGGTCATTTGGGCTTCACAGTAACTTTTAAAATATAATTTTATACGGGCGGGTCACGCGTTTTTCATATTTATTTGAGAGACTGTGCTATAAGCCGAAAGTTTGCGTGTTCCATTCCCAATGCCACTGGATTTTTAAACTGACCCAATCCTTCCAGCCGCACTATGACCCTGGGGTCGACTCAGTCTCTAACAGAAATGAGTACCAGGAATCTTACTGCGGGTAAAGGGTAGCTGGTGCGTAAAGCTGACAGCGTCACGTCCTTTTGTGCACCGATTGTCTAGAAAATGTGGGAATCTCAACTTCTCGCAACCCTATGGGTCTCCACGGACTGTTACAGGGATAGCTTTACTTTTTCTTTATATGGGTGTAAAAGAAATTGTTAGATTTTCATAAGTAAAAAAAAAAGTAAAGGTATCTCTGTAACAGGCCGTTGAGGTCCATAGGGTTGTGAGATTTTGGGAGTCCCACATTTTCTAGACAATCGCCTCACAGATGGCGGCAAGGTTTCAGCCCTACGCGCCGGCCGCCCTTTACCCCCAAGAACATTCCACGAATATCCCTGGTACTCATTTCTGTTAGAGGCTGAGTCGACCCCAGGGCCATAGTGCGGCTGGAAGGATTAGGTCAACTGAAAAAATCCAATGACCTCATCGGTATTTTAACCCACGACCTTCTGGCGGCTTGAGGCATATTGCCTCAAGCCTGACTAAATTAAATACTTCATTGAAATAAACTAATGACCATATGTGAATATCCATGAGCACTTTATTCAAGGTAACGTGGGAAGTATACAGCCAAAATCTCACCCAAAAATATTTAAATTTGTGTGAAACATTTTGAGATTCAGTTTTTTTAAGGACATTTTATATTAAGTTCAGAATTCTTGCATCAGTCGATACTAAATTTTACGAAAGCGCTACGAATGTTCAGAAGAATTACTGTACACAATTTCAATATTATAGCTTGATTGAAAAAATGAAATTTCACTCCGTTCTCCCTTAATATATGTTTCCATATCTAATATTTTGAGATTAGGTTTCCTATACTTTTCTCCCCAACATAGATTTCTCGCTAAACTGGAAACCACATAGTTTTCCTCCAGTGTGTTAATTTAACGTGTGATCATTTAATTGTACCCACACCCATTCGTTGGAAGTAGAGCCACTAGATACGGCATTAGAATTACACACGAAATAATATTTACCTACAAAATGAGTCGGTCAGTTCTTGGCCAGAAGTTCTGAAATATTTCCTACTCATAAGAACAAACACTTTATTGTACAGTAACTGATGTCTCCTTGGAGAACGTGGAATATCGTCCGTTTTAAATGTGTATTTCTACAAGACGAGTGCTAACAATGCTTCCGAAAGCGTGCAGCCTCTACAGTAGATTCTGTTTCACTTGATGCACTGATGAGTTCAGTGGGTGAGAATATTGCCAATTTTGGTACTGTGATGAGAAGTCCCAGGTTTAAGTAGTGCGAATTTTCTCTCATAATAGTCACTTGGTTCTTGTTTCACAGCAGTGAATGCGCGATCAGCTGTGAACTAGAAACTGCGTAACGCTTTTCAGAAACTTGGTGTACATTTTGTATTCGTGTATCAGGAAGTGTAAGTAAATGCCACAAAATATGCCCGGGACTTGGTAGCAACTAAGATTCATAACAGAAAAGACCGAAATTCAGCGTTCAATGAAATCCTAAAGCAGTGCCATCCCTTTCTGTCATTTTACCTTACTTTCTGAAGGCAATTTTGATCTGACGTCCTTCTTTTCTGCCTCTGAAGCGTCCGACACTCAACAGGCTTCGTGCATGTCCGGCATAAATACTTCCGTCTCCATCTTCACGAAACCCCGTGCGGCCTCTGTTTGTCATGAGTTGCATATTTCTCTCCATCGTATTGTTTCTGATTATAATAGCGCTACTTCTACGGGCCGTATTGGCAGGATGAATAGTATGATATGTAGTTTTTAAGTCTAATAAAAGATTCTGTAGTTTCTGATATAAGACTTGTGTCATTATTCTCTGTGCTCAGGATTACTTGTAGGTCGCGTTGGTGCTGTAGCAATCCGTTCGCATTCCATTCCATTATACGTAAGGAGTTAGATATTGGTGAGTGGTGGTCATTTTAAGGCTGCTCTCGGTTTTATTGAGGCGCAGATTTGGCTCTTTTAGCATTTGCATTATTTGTGCTAACCTGTTTTCGGTATCTGCGGCGTGTTCAGCTTCAGCAATGCTGTTAGATGCAACCTGACTGTAGGTTTTCCCAAAGTTGTTTTTAGGTTCATTGTTGGGAGCTGTTCTTAGTATCTGTTGTAGTTTGTTGTTTTGGTTTATTCTTGTTATCTCTAAGTTTCTGGAGTTCTTTAATCACCTCACAACCTCGATAATTTTCTGGATAGTTCTTTCCGCAGTGACAGCATTTTCGTTGTGCCAGTTGTGGTTTATCACCCTGTGATTTTAAGTGTGTTAGTGCTGTTGTAAATAGAAAATATGTTATAAAGTGGATGAAATATGTTCATTACGTTTTTACACACTAATTTACCTTCGTACGCTATAATCAGATCGATGCCTATTATTACGGCATGCAGTGTGCCATAATTTTATCCATGTAGAAGCTTTCAGGTTTAATTACACAGCCAGGGTTCGAGAGCGCTTTGTGTTTGTTCTATATTTGGACGCATGTATGGACGGGAGGTGATAGTCTGGGTGAGTACTATTGTGATACAGCCGCAGTGCGCTCTATCATTATTACACCTATGGTACTTCACGTTCACAGACATAGCTTCGTTAACGAACCGATGGCTCTTTTGTTTGGTTGGTATCTGAGAAACTAGGTGTTATGATACCAGATGCCTGTAGTAACATACTGACTGAGCATGCAGCTTTACGGGGAAGATAACGGATGTCGTTGTGCCTCCG